GAAACAGGGAAGCCAGGGCAGATGTTCCCTTCAGGACCAGTGGTGTGAGTGGCGATCCTGGGAGGGTAGAGGGAGAGTGGGTTGGAAAGAGGGAACCGATTACGCAGATCTATATGTGACCTCCTCCCTGGGGAACGGACAACAGAAAGGTAGGTGAAGGGAGACGGACAGGGCAAGATATGACAAAATAATTTATAAATGATCAAGGGCTCATGAGGGAGGGTAAAAAATGAGGACCTGAGGCCGGGGACTTAAGTGGAGAGGAAATGTTTTGAATGTACAAATGCACTTTACACAACTGATGTATGTATGGATTGCGATAAAAGTTGTATGAGCCCCTAATAAAACTATTGAACAAAACATGAGCTTATACCAAGGGCTCAAGTAGAAAGAAAATGTTTTGAAAAAGATAACATGTGCAGATGTTTGGCACAATATATATGTATGTATGGATTGTGGTAACAGCATAAGAGTCCCCAATAAAATTGAAAACAAAAGAAGTGGATGACAGTATCAATAAGACTTAGTGACTAATGTGGAAAGAGATGCATGCTTTTTAGCCAATTACGAGTGGTTTGAGTTCCAGTTGTCACTTACTACCGTGGGCATGTGGCATGGCCTCTTCAAACTCTATTTTCTGTATCTGTACAATGACTCCAGCACCAACACTTCACAAGGGTACTGTTAAACCCCAAGGGAGCTGACACATGCATAATGCTTCCTGAGTGGTTGGCACTTAGTATTGTTCGACAAACACCAGTTCCCTTCCTCTACAGCATTTATGTATGTAAATGCTACTGTCACTGAAACAACCTTGAGGACTAGGATCTCATTTTATCAACACGCTGTACCAGCACAGCGGGTGGAGGATAAGAATGGGAAGTGGTCATTCGAAGTTATGAAACTGATAGCAGGAAAAAAGATGACAGATATTAGTTTTCAACTATGAATTCAATAAATTCAGACTGCCAGGATCAACTAGGGTTAGAAGCGATCCCCATCCTACCGCACCCTCGGTAGAAAAAGCGGCGAGAACCGTGACAGGAGGAGAAGAGCACAACAGTACTTTCCTGAGGGCGCCGACCATGCTACATTCCATTTGACAGCAACCAGAACAACGCTTTGTACAAGACAGGGTTCAAGTCCACTTAGTGACAAAGGCACATCATGGGGTACCACCTAGCACTCTGTTTACCTGTCTGCAATCGCAAGTGAGCTTCAATATTTTGTAGTCGTTCTTCTACACCTTGATTTCCGCAGTCTCGAAGCATGCTGTTAGGCTTATGCGCTGACCCTTGAACTCCTTCGGGTCTAGTCTGCGGTCCATAAGTATTCACAACTCTAGAAACTAGGGTAAGAAACTTCTGAGCTTGTGTAAATGTGCATTTCAAAAGTCAGCAACTCTCGCTTCCCAACGTCACTGCTGTTTTGTGTCAAGGAGTTATTTCGGAGACCCAAGAGGACAGAGTGGAACTGCCTCACAGGACTGCCAGGTCTTTTTCCCACAGATTGGCTGGATGGATCAAACCACCAGCCCTCTGGTTAAGAGTCAAAGCATTACACTTGCACAACCAGGACTTCTAACAATTCTCTAAATTCTCTTCATAAAGCCATTTAACCACAAACGCAGAAATAAAAAATTTGTTCGTTTTAAAACAAACAAAATTGAATGGGAAAATTATTTCTATTGCAATTTGTTATAATCTAGAATAAGCTTCTGTTTGTGATGAAGATACTATGATGTGGTCACTTACCCTTTACATGACTTTTAAATCCAGGATAAGGGGTAAAAACAGCATCAGTTCTTGCACAACTATTTTCTGGGGAAAATTCAGATGACAATAACATTAAATATATTCTTAGCTTCACATGCATGAGATTTTGATAAATTTTCAATTGTTCATATTAACAAAATTCAAATTAGACAACATATTTTTAAATTGTAATTGTCAATATCTATAATTTCATGACCGTTCTCTAAAACTTATATCTAATGTTCAGATTTATATACACAAAAGGTCTCAAAATTTAATGGTATGACTTAATTTTTAATGACAACCACTATCTCTAAAAGCCAGCTTCGTCTCTGGATAAAATAATCCATGTATTATAGAAAATATTTTAATTCTAAGCCAAAGACATTACTTACATTACTTTAACACAGAACTCATTATTTCCCTGAAATGTCTTTTTTTAAAGTCTAGCATCTTTGATATCTGCTAATCAAATAAATGACGATCAAATAAAAACTACTAGACATTTAATATCTCTACTTCAGAACTTCACAGAAAAGACGACCTTATAACATACCTTTGTTGTGTTATGTACCTAGATTTCTAATGCTCACTTTAAAATCCTGAATCACAAAAATGGTCTACTGATATCTATCCTACCCTCTTTCAAAATTTCCAATTTAGGAAAGAGATGCTGTGAAAATTGATTTCTTTCCTCAACTGAAAAATATAAAGAGTCTTTTCAGGTTAGATGTCAATAAAAAAGTTTGACATCTTATTTTCAATTTAGAAATTTAAACTACAGGGAGAAATTGAAAATACGTTAACACATAAGTGCTTTCAATATTAAAATTCTTTCAAAGTTATCCTTTAATTATTTATAAAAATGGATGATAAATTAGACACTGAAAGAAAAGTCTTTTTTTCCCTACAAAATTTGACTTTTTTCCGATCCACTGCTTAGATTTAGGTCAAATTGAGAGGCATTAAATAAAAGAACACACATTAAAATATCTATGCATTCGTCAGTCTGTTTCCTTATTTAACGACTGTTAAATCAGACTGTGTGAATAAAATTTTAAATGTACTTTGTATTTAGATCTTTTTAAGCGTTTTATTAGGGGCTCAAACAATTCTTATCACAATCCATACATACATCAATTGTATAAAGCACATTTGTATATGCATTGACCTTATCATTCTCAAAACGTTTAGATCTTAAACACAATCTTTTTCTTTCTAAAAATACACTTCAAAATACATGTAAATGGCCAATACTTCACCATACTGTTTTATGGGGCAAAAAAAGGGCTACCATCTATTCCTGAGGTGTATCCCAAATGTAGAGCTTAACCTGACATCAGTGTGAAACTCAGCATGGCATGAAGACGGTGAATGTCTGAGTGCTAGGTCACCGGCCACCGCAATTCTTGCTAGCACTGTTTTGAGCCAGCAAGGAATTGAGTGGGCCAAGGAATCCTGCTGAGCATTTCAATTCTTGTCTGTTTCTACCCCCGGTGGTTTGTAATGATAGAGCGAGCAGAGAGAAGCGAGGAATAACATTAGTGACACACGTGCTTGCTCCCTCAACAAACTCTTTCTCCCGGGTTGCTTCCAGTTGGATTGCAGTACCTGAGATTTTGCCACAGATGCACCTGTTCTGAAACACTAAACGGAAAATATACCACCTTCAGAGGTAGACATGTATAACCTTCATAGCAGGAAAAGCTGAACTTGAGGCCATATTATTTCATTATTAAAAGAATCAGTGTACCAATGGGATATGACTCACATCTTGGTTCAGCTGACAATTTTGTGTTTATACTAATTAGCCAAGAGGTATCAGAGAAAACAAGAAATAAGATTCATTCCAATCATGAGTTCAATTTTTTCCCTAAGAACTACTTGTTCTGATTATTACCATGACGCTTGGTGACGAGTGTGGTTGGGGGCAGTGCTCTGCAATGCTTGCATTCGGCAGTGTACCTGCAAACCTGTACATGTACGACACCATCAAGTGAAGAGGGAGATGAACTGGGAGACAATCAGTGCGAGGGGGAGCCCTACGACACATGGTCTTCACGACACGGCTTTCATTGTGACAGAAAACATTTTACACAGCTTAGTGGGAGTGCGAAACTGCGCCCTCTTGAGGAGTGTGCACTTGACTAAGTTCACGCGCGGTATTAGCGTCACAGCTTCGTGGGGACCTATATGTGTAGGTTGGAAAGGTGTTCAGCTCAGTGTCATCTTACAAGTGAGACATAAACCCTGCCACTCAACACTTCACCTTCCATGTCGAAGGGAACTTTAAATTAATCTCCTTGTAGCAGACATTAGCCTTTTTACCTCAGCACTGTTTTTTAACCTTAGCATGTTTTTGTGTAGCCAAACTGAAACCTATTTTTACAACACAGTATTATTAAGCAGAAGAAAAACATGCAACCTTGGTTTTTAAATGAAGCTGTGAAGTAAACGGAATTGTGCTGTCCATTTTAGTCATTTTAAAATGCAAATGAAAGATTAGAGGGGCTGTAAAAATTAAGTTTAAAATCCTAGGAAAACTAACTTCTAGGTAGTTACCTTGGTTACTATCAATAACATTGCAAAATTCCCTGACGTTGTTTTCATTGATTTCAGCTTGCTTTCTTTCAATGAATGCAGATATTCGCCTGTCGATCTAAAAATCACAAATATGAAGGCTTTAACAATTCAAAAATTCTCGCTCCCTTTAAACTTTTTAACTGCATGCCCCCCCCCTCCCCACCCCCACCCTGGTCAATAAATACTTACTTCTGCTTTCCCAGCCTTTATTTGAACTACTTCTGGGTCAAAATAGATCTGGCCCTTTTTCACATCTCCTAAATCGCCATCTTTGTGCTTTTCTTCCTCCTGTAGATCGCCAGCGGGACGTTTGGCATTTACTTGATTCTCGGTGCCTGGGTCTGTTTTTCCTATGTCTTCAACAGCAGCTGTATTCTCTTCTTTAATCAGAGACTGAAGTTTTGCTAAAAAGGGCTGTAAAGAACACAATTCCATCAGCTGGAGTTCAAAATGATCAAAATCAGGGCTATATTTAGCGTATTTATAAGCATTCCTACTAAGTGAATGTAACATTTAATATCAATTACTAAATATAAAAAGTTGGCATATCAAGATACATAAATCTGGCCGCACACAAGTGTTTGTTGATCTCTGCTATTGTAACTATTATCATTCGCTATAAATTTGTTTTTTATAAAAGAAAGAAAACCTGTGGAAATTTAGAATTTTCTTTGAAGGAAGCATTCTGTCACTCATCTTTTATTTTGTGCTAAATCAAAGCTTCATCCTCTGGCACCAATGCCACTTAATTAACATGTCATTCAAATGCCTCCTGGAACACGAAGGCTTAGTGTTTTTCGCCTGTAACAGGAGAGCCAGTGCGCTCACTCAGCCAAGCCCTGCATTATCACTCTATCACTGGAGCTTCTCCACTTGAAACTGCAGTTGGCCAAAGTGAATGAGAGAGCACAGACTGAAATATATAGGTGTTATGCTGAGTGAACAGTCAGGCTTTTCCTGACATGGCAGGATAGCTTCTCAGGTCATGAAATTAAATTAAAAAAGAGAAAATGAACAAGGGGGAAACCCCCCCCCCCAAAAAAAAACCTACCAACACCCACAGTTAAAAATAGGTGCCTATCACTATAGTGAGGAGCGCTGGTGGCACAGTGAAGCATTTGGCTGCAAACCAAAATGTCTGCGATTTGAACCTCCAGCTGCTCTGCGGGAGAAAGATGTGGCGGTCTGCTTCCGGAATGATTACAGCTTTAGAAACCCTGTGGGGCAACTCTGCTCTGTGCCATTGGGTCGCTAGGAGTCCGAGTGGACTCCGAAGTTAACAGGTCTGGCTGATTTGGGATCCCTGGGCTGTTCTGCAATGTAAATTATGCTATCCAGTGCAGCCCCCAAAACACACACACACACACACACACACACACACACACACAATTAGGACTCACTTGAGTTCTATAACTTATTTCTGTCCTTTAAAACTATGGATAACTATTCTAAAGTAAAAAGAGTTAACATTTCCCCGTATCATGGAAGTTAAGGGATGGCATAACACAAAATTAATGCCTACTCTATTAATCAAAACACACCAACACATCAAAGTTCCAATTATTTTTTTCATACCTACAGTGTTGCTTCCACTGTTTATGACAGAAAGTCTTCTGAAAAGTTAAAAGCAGTAAACTAACCTATCCAAGCAGTTCTTCCACGCTATCTTTTTGAGACTACGCATTTTGCCCTTTGATTAAAGATACACTGCTAACTTACACCAATTACAATCGCCGGGATGCTCAATTAGGAACCAGTGAGTCATAATACTGCTCAGCTATTGAACTGGAACATTAACAACTATGAAAATGCTATCGTAAATCACAATGCGATGTCAACTTTGATACAAAGAATGAGTTTTTAAAAAATGTTAAGCAGAAGAAAGACAGAATTGTGACTGGCTACTTACAAAGATGAGACATTAATGTCATAGAAATTACTTTCTTTTTAAAAACTATTCTGAAACTGTTTAATTGCGATAGACACTCCAGGATGTGTCATGCTGGGATAATGCCACTTCTTGAACCACTGAAAGCACTCCATGAGCCTCCAAACTCACCCAAGGCATGGAATCATTATCATAGCATGACACACACCTGCCGTGTCTTATTGCTTAATTATAACCCACCATCGATGGAACTGTATTGAATTTTCAATGCAAGTCTAGAATTGAATAGAAATGCATTCATTCAATCCTCATACTCACATTGGCCTATTGGGCTATATTCTTATGACTGTCCTGATCACTATGTAAATTAACAGATTTGGATCCAATCTGAAAGTAAGTAACCTTTTATTAATAACTCTATTCATATAATGCTACACAGAACTGACGAAGAGCCCAGCTTATAATTTAATCACAATTAATTTCTATTCTCAATATCGAGTTAACATGTCTAACAAGAAATTTACCTGTAAATATAAAACGTGTTGCTCAAGTGCAGTGAAGAGCAATGCGGGCTGCACTGCCGAGAGGCTCTGGAGCTTGTTCCAATCGATTGTAATTTTCACCACATCATCTGTGAGGTTAAGCTTCAAAAGGGCAAACCGGCAACATCACAGAAATAGCATGATTAAGCTCTACATATCGAATTGTCACAAAGATAAGATTTCTATAAAATAACACGTGCCAATTTTGCTCCAAGTTATCAACTTTTAATCTTACATTCAAATACTCTACCTAGTTATTATTTTTAAAGGTCAAGAAAGGTGCAGGTTGTTCCTAATAAACCAGAATGTTATTTTATTCTAACTCTACCCTTGGGTCTGTGTAATGGGACTGACCATCTTCTAGGTGAAACATCCACAAATGTTAATGATCCTTTTGATACTTCACTATCTAAACATCTTTGGCCATGTCCCAGTTAGATTTGCTCCATGCAGAATCCTACGACGTACTTCTAGGGCAGAATGTTAAACAGAGGACGGACAGCTGCGTTCCTGACGCTCTGCTACACAGTTCCTCCTGTTAAAGAAACAGGTGCACACATTCCTCAGGACCCTGCAGTCTTCGGATCACAGTTCTAGTTCTCAACTTCTAGCCATTAAAAAAAAAAAAACCAGTAATCAAAATTACTCATACACAATATAAAGTCTAAGGATAAATGGTAGCATGTTTATCTACATCCAATAAAAAAGAAACTTATTGAACTGTGGGAATCTGAAAATAAATAGTATACTTTTCCACAATAGTGAATGAAAGGCCTTTGGATCTTTTGGTAAATGCTATTTTCTAGTAAGGTGTCAGGGCTCATAAGATGGAAAGTTATTTGAAATAAGTTATGTGTGATCTATTAGAATAAAATGATATGTAGAGAACTACCAAGAACCTCAGTATAAAAATTAGTATACATTTTATAGTCAGAGCCTCTACTTCTAGTAGCTGGTGAATGAATAAAAGTGAACCACCACAAACTTCCAGGCATGGGTTTATAGCACACAAGAATTCAATAAATAGTATCAAGTTAAATATATTAATTTAGCAAAAGTCTTCTATAGAAAGTTAAGCATGCTTTCTACAAAATAAAGACAAGTGTTGCATGAGTTCAAATATGGATCTTATCAGTGTCATCACAACAAAATAATAAGCTACTGTACAAGGAACCAAAGAGATATAAAAGATGCCATCAGAAAAACGCTTTACTGTGGGTCAGAAAAACAAGAAAACTGTGGGTCAAAAATATACTGCCCTTTGAATGAGACCAAAAACATTTTAAGTCCATTATTTTAAGTACAAGTTTATTAAGTTTTATGTACATTGCACTGACAAAGGCTAATTTCTCTTAATTTATATACCTTAAATGCTTTTTTAAGTTAGAAAACTTACAGATGAAAGTCTACTACTTTAGGTTTACAGTCCTAGTAGAGATTTATAGTCAAGTATAGCAAATTTAGTAATCTGGCTTGGAGATAAAGTAGGCAAATCCTTAACTAAAGCAAAGCACTAAATTCTCTAGGCAAAACAGTAACTTATGGAAAATAAATTTTGGATTATATTCTCATTGCAATTCACAGTTATGTGTAAACCTTCAAGTGCAACAAGGATACTTGATCTTTCAGGAAAACCATATAAAAATGTCATGAGTTAAGTTTAGAATTATCCTAATATATCCTATGATTCACTTAACAAATATGCATTTTTCCAGATTTTTTAACAGTAAACCATAGGCTCTAAAATCTGTTAGTTTGCTATTGACCAAGTATGCATTTCCATTCAGCAAAAGCTATTAAATTAATAAACTCCAAGTTAGCAATAAACAATTCTTTAGGGTGGTAAAATGGGTCATCCAGAGGCAAGTAATAAGGCTAAAAAATAAGCAAAAAATACATATGTATTTTATGTGGGGTAGAAAATACTTTTACAGTCAATTCTCTGCTTCCTATAGAGGAGCGCCACGCATACAATGGCATTATACAGAATGAATTTAGGCAGATAATGACATACATTTTAAACTCTTTAGATGTGTTACAAAAGGAAGCAGGGATTCCTCTGAGCAGATTTTGTATAATATCCTGGGTTTTATTATTATTTTAAATAATATATATCAAAATAGAAAAAATATTACCAAAGCGGTTATTACCAAGATGATGAGACCACTTTATTTTTGACACTTGCATAGAAGATCCTTACAGTGCCAGGTACAGTCATCAATTAGTATTCTAAACATTTTTGAGAGATTAATTTTAACCGTAACTCTACCTGTAAACCAAATGAATTTGAAAAATTCTGTATGCAATTTTTTTTTAAGTTTAAAGTTTTCCTCATTACTCATTAAAAAAAAACTTCCACCGTTGAAAGAAACACCTTCTGTAAATACTAGGGCAGCACAAACTTCTTTTTGTCCTGGCATTCGAATATAATTAAGCTTTAAAGGCCCAAAATCTACATCATAAAAGAAAAAGTTCTCTAACTCTTAAAAGCATTTAAAAGTCTTGGGTCTTAAAACTAAAATGTTAGTAATAATCAACAGTCCCCAAGTCTTTAAAAACATCTTCTGTTAAGCCCTTGGCAAGCAACCAAGTTTAAAAGTGACATTCTTCTAGCAGATTCCATTAATAATTGCTCCAGCATGCCAAGCTGAGTGTTTAGAGTATGCTCTTTGTAAGTCATGACAAACATGATAGAATTTTTAAGATATGGAGTAATTAAAAAAAACTTAATTCTCATACCCAAGGCTTCAGAAAATAATTTTTATTAAAAAAACGCTTCCCTTTATTTGCCAAGGAATTTACCCATCATCTTCAACAGAAGTGGGTGCCGCGTCTACGTGCATTACTACCAGTCCCTGGTCAAACTTATAGCGAGACAGTGCTCATCTAAGGCAAAAAAGAAAATACTTCCTTTTTAAAACGCAGGCAAATAAACATCTCTCCAGGTTCTTGGTTTTTTTTTTCATTTAAATTGTGCTTTCAATTGTGTATTAAGAAACCAACTATTGAGTTGATCCGAATAGAGAAAGGAACTCATTTCTTCCCAACCCAAATTATGCAAAGGCTATACATCTAGCCAGTTCATCTAGTTCACAGCTGAAGATGAATTAGGATGCTAACAGATCAACTTTGGCCAATCCATCCAACTTGATGCAGTAAGTATTTTAGATGAATTCCTGTAAGTGTTCTAGATAAATTCTCCTCCCGGTTTGAAAAGGTAGTAGAAGCCGAGGAAGTCCAGAGGAAAAAATAAGCAGAGCTAAGTGACTCATAAGCGCAAATCAACAAAAACCGAAACCCATGACGCCAGCAGCAGCAGCAGCAGCAGCAACCAAAACGGGGGCGAGAGCAGCTTTTCCAAAATCCCAGGCCGCAGGGACCGGCCCATTTCGATAGAGATTGGGGGGAAGGGCACACAGAGCGCCGGGCGTCTCCCAAGCCCTTGGGGAAGCTCTTTCGCCTCCATGCTCCCAGGGAACCAGGCTTCCCTGACACCCACCCCCGCCTCGCTCCCTGTCGGGGAGGACGGCAGTTGGAGGGAAATCTTGTGCGAACGGTCCCGGCAGCCGAGCCAGGTGGCCGGCTCCTCGCCCGCCGGGAGGCGGAGGGCCTGCCGAATTCCTCCCCCGGCCTCCGCTAGCCGGCCGCTCGCAACTCTCAGGCCTCGGGGTGCCCCGCCCTCAGCGAGGGGGAAGGCGGGGGGCTGGGCCGCTCCCGGTTACGCACGACTCACCTGCCCAGCCAGGTTGCGCAGGGAGCGCACGGTTTCGCAGAGCACCTCTCGGGAGAGGCTAGGGCTGCAGCCCCGTTCCAAGCTCTGGTCACTGCTGTTTGGGCGACTCAGCTCCGCGGCAGCCTCCATGGCACCTTCGCCGGCGGCCCCCACCACGGAGGTGCGCTCCCAAGACCCCTCCCGCCAGTGGGCGTCGCAGGACGATGACGTCGAACGCCGCGTCTCACGTTTTTCCGAGGCCCCACCGTTTTCGTGTGATTGGCAAGCCCGCCAGCCAACCACAGGGATCAGCCACCGTGCGTCACGTCTAGAGCCCGAGATGGCAATTGCTGACGCTGAGCACGTGTGCTTGTTGTGTTCGAGAGTGTGAGTGCTACAGGGCTTGATTGGAGTTAGCAGCAGACACAGTTGTTCTCTATTTACCTGGAGCAACAGGGGAAGGAGACAGCCAGGAATAGAAGAGGGAACGCGGGGCTCATTTTCTCCGTGACCAACTGCCTCCGCCATGAGGCCCGAAAAACTGGATGGCTCGCAGCACCCACTGCTAAATGTCTTGATCCATGATTTCATAGAAATCTTGAGGGTGGGGGACGCAGAATATAATTTTAAATTCTCAATGACTATTGAGGGTAGATGAGTCCCTGATATTATTGCCCTGAGATAATTACCAAAACCTTACTGCCATGGAGACATTCCAACCCATAAGCACCTTACCCCTGCTGTTGTCCAAGACTGTCAACACTTTATGAGAGTATAAAGCCATGCCTCTTCTTGTGGAGCAGCTGGTGATCCAAATTTGTAACCACGAGGCCACCAAATTGTTGTTCTAGGTGAGAAAAAAAAAGAAAACCTAAACGCATTGAGTCAATTCTGACTCACAGCAACCTTACAGGACAAAGTAGAACTGCCCTTGTGGATTTCTGAAGCTATAAATCACTACAGGAGCAGAAAGCCTCCTCTTTTTCCTGCATAACC